CCAGCTGAAAGGTTCTCTGAGCTATTGCCAAGGCACAATGTGTGTATTTTTTTGACCTCAGAGAGTTATGTTGGAAATATTAAGAGAGGTGTGAGATGGGTTGTAAAACATGGAAATATCCATATCTTAGAGAAACCAATTTATGATCCTGAAAACCAGCTCAGACTCTAGGAAGGAAGGGAAAGGGTACATTAGTTGAGTGTTTTTGCTGCATTCAAAATAGCTGTTCAAATGGACAGAAGGAAAAACTTGCAAAGTAGTGAAGGAATGAAAATAAAATTCTGCAGAGATTTGCTTTTTCACTCAGTGTTTATGGTGGTAATAGTTAGTGATGGAAGAACTGCAAAAGATTTAGATTAATGGGGTATTAGTTTAGAGTTTCTGCCCAGTTTACATACCTCCAAGTTTCAAATGCATTGCAAAAAATTATCTACATTTTTGTGTCTGCAAAAGCTGAGCTAGATTCTTTCTTAGGAGAGACTATTTGATAATGCATCTTGTGATTCTTTTTCTGGAAACTAAATCTGCAGCTAAGTTTAAATTTGAGGGATTGGGAATGAGGGTGTGCATGAGGAAAGACTGTGCAAGGAAAGATGTAACATAACTTCCTCTATAGCCAAGCCATAGAATATAACAATAAATGGTTGCCAATTTGTTGAGCTGTTTGATAGGGAACCTGAAGAATGAGGATCTTGGCCTTCTTGAAAAACACTAAGGAAACTTGCTATTTATTGTCCTGTATTAAAAACCACCCTGCTTTATGATGTCTGTTTACTCAAGGCTATTTTGTTTGGTTTCCTATGTGTATATTCAGTCTTTGTGATTCTCTTAATCCAGATTTTAGGGTGAGTATTTACAGCTGTTTATAATCATTGCTCTGATCCAAGCAAAATTTCAGGTGAACTGGGTACAAAAATTTGCATGGGAAACTTTTTTTTCAGTAACTGCTATTTCATTGAAAGCAAAATTTCCCCCAGAATGTGTTAGCTTTTTGTAAAGAATTGTCACCAAAAAAATTTGTGAAGATTAAAATGTAAGCATTTTTAATGACACATAGTATGTTATTTTTAGAATTATTCTCATTTTAAAATCTATTTTCAGTTCCACAGTGAAACATGGTCTCTAAAGTCAAAATGGGGTAGAAGTGAAGCAGGGGAAAGGACAGACACCAGTATTTGTTCCCATTCATACTCAAAAAAACCCCAAAAAAACCCCCAAAAAACCAAAAACAAAACAAAACAAAAAAAAAAAAAAAAAAAAACCACAAAAAACCCAAAAAAGCCAGTTCCTCATAGAATGGATAATTTGAGGTGCAACAAGCAGGAATCAACTCTTCATCTACTTCTGTCATATTCTCTTGATTTGGGCAAGAAAGGTCTTGTGCTGATTGTTCACATCAGCAGTGATTTCAGGAGAACCCACCTGTTTGGGCTGTGTCACCAAGCGCATGAACCTTGTGTTGCTCATATGCCTTTGTAGCACGTGGGCTGTCTGTGCCCAGAACATGGTGTTTATTTCAAACCAGATTACCTAGTAGTAGGGCAAAATGTCTAGTCCCAGCTGGAGACACAGAACTGCATCCCCGTGCAAAAATGCGCTGTTTGATTGGCACTGGAGGAGTTCTCAAAAACAGGCTCAATGTGATATAGGAAAGGGCAAAGGTTTGTTGCAAGCTTTTCCCCAAACTTGTGTGTTCAAACTTACTTTAGATGTATAGCCAGTGTCTCTGTCCAAGAGATTATCTTTCCTGTGATTTAAATTGTCTGAAAATTAAAGAAACAAATTACTACTTCAGACTTAGGCAAAATTCTAAACTTCTAAGTAGTATTATTCTTGGTCTCCCTACAAAGAAAATTAAGGTAACAATACTGATGTGGATTTCTCAAATGTATGAACATTCATCTCCCGTTTAGAATCTGATTCTCGTCCTCTTTAGAAAGACATGTATCTCTAACATTACTACCTTGTAAGACTGGAATTAGAAAATACTGTATTATCCTGCCATTTTAAGGTGTAGCATGCTCCTCATAAAGACAAGGTTATCTATGTGACCTTCAGGTAATAATAGTGAGCATTAAGCGCAGGCTGTGGGCAAAACCTATCAGTGTTATGGGATTTTATCCTAGTTTTATTGGTCAATGTTATCAAAACCTTGCTGGTAGAAAGCTTGTAAAAAGGCTGACATTGAACCTTCACCCTCATTGTGGGTTGATCAGCAGTGCTGCATCTGCTCAGGGAATGCTGTGGAGGTCTTTGTGGAGAAACTCATCCTACACAATACTAAGACTGTCATAAGCAAATGTTATGGTTCTTCATTGTAACCCAATGTTCCGTAACACCTGGAATTTGTCTCTGTGTACTTTTCAAGAACTCTTCTCAGTGGTCTTCTACCCCTCTCCATCCCTCTGCTTATGGATTTAGGTGTGAAATAGTTAATGCTGGCATCCTCAAACATTGCCCAAGTTAAGCTGAGTCACAAAAAATTGTTGCCATTGCTTCAGTTTTTCTGTTGCAGATTCTAGACTACAGCTCTGTGCATGTTAAATGGAAAGAGAAGCTAATTTTTGCAGCTATAAACATTAGAGAAGTTCTTAAGCAAAGGCTCAGATTTCGTGATGCTTCTCACATGCTCCATCATTTAGGGACATGTCTGACACTATTGAAAAAACAGAGAGCAGCTGTGCTCCTGAACATACTAATTTTCTGTGCCACTGTAGCCAGGACTGTGGTAGATTTTAAACTCTGTTCCAGAGGCTCTGAGTCCCAGCCAAGGTCCTGCAGAGCTGGCTGGATTTTTCCATATAAAGCTTGTTCCTGTCCCCAGATGGCTTTGCATCGCACTGGCTGGCAGCAGCAGGTGCGTGAGTGCCGAGTCATGCCACAGGAAACGATCACAGAACAGAAATATTTCATCCTCCGTGGCTTGGTATCTCAGATGAGTTTGGGATAGCAATGCTGTTGCTCTAGGTAGGCCAAACCTGTGAAGATCTTCTCCGTAGCACTGAGATGGGGATACAGCTCACTGGCTGTACTAAGCACAGGTGACATTTCTCAGTTCAGTCTGCATTTGTGAGTTACAGAATGTTTGATTAGCCTCAGATTCGTTGCTATTGCCAGGCAAATGTTCACCTTGACATTTCTGTGTGATTCTTTACAATCTCAGGTGCAATCTATTTTTTTTTCTTTAGTAAGCGTGACTTCTTCCTTTCATGATGTGTGAAAGTCTTATATAATTAAAGCTAAGTACTTCCAGCATTTTAAAAAGTACCTTTATGGGTCTTTCCTATTCCGAGGTAGTATGATTGGCATGTTCAACACTACATTATCATAATTCTGACCTGTTAGATTTATTTTTACCATGTTTTTGTAGCCATGTCATGGGAATGTAACTATTGCCAAAGCAATGGCAATCAAATGCTTGATAATTCTATGCTGTTTGCGCCCTGCTTTTCTGTTGCCTATATCCTAAGCTGCTGCATTCAAAAACTTTTGATTTCTTATACACTTACAGTGAGGTACAATGTAGAAGCGACCCCAAAAATGGCAGTTATTCTTGGGATTAAAAACTATCATGAGACTACAGTGACCCCCTAATCCACTATCTTTAATTTAATAGTGATTCTTAGTGAAATGCTTCACAGAGGAGTTGAAAGTTGGCAAAAAATACAGTCTTCAAAATCTGGCTCCAGCTGATTTTATATCTAGAAGCACAACTTGGATGATCTTCTGCAACTGGTTAATTAAGTCCTATGTTTTTAGCCCTCAATTAGATGTGTAACATGACAAAACTTGTTAGATTTGCTGGCCAGATATGGAGAGATGTCATATGTCTTTCTGACTACTTTATATTTGCACTCTTAAAGGATGTATGCAACTTGTATAATAAAATGTCTGTATGTATGTGAGGGAAAAAAGAAGGAGATTTTGGATATCTCTCTCTGTTGATCTGTCTGCTGGTGTCCCTATTTAGTGAGTAGGGTAAAACTCCCCTTCCATTTTTTTTAAAATGTTTCTTGGACTCTTACCAGCAGGTTTTTACAGTCTGTTGCCTGCCTCTTGGATTAGAAGAACACTGGCATATTTTAACAGTTTCCTAGGATCTAAATAGTCTTTAATTAACAGGGAATTGATGTTTTGGAGTGCAACCAATATAGGAGACACTGAAAGCAGAGAATGAACTTGGATCCTTACAGCTTGTAGCTGGCTGTGGCCAGGGGCAAACAAATAAGCAAAATAGGTTCCACTGCAAACAGGTAGTGCCTTATTGGTATGCAAGGGGATTTCTTCATTTGCACTGCGTTCCCACAGAGCTGGTGGTTAGCTGGGAGGATCTTTCTGCTGCACAGAGTCTGAATCAGCTCCACCCCTTGCAAAGAGCAGAAAGTGTTCATCGGTACCTTCCCATAAACAGAATTTCAGTGGCTCCTGAAACTGTTATTTTTAGATTTGTATTGATCAACTGTTGAGGCAGCAAGGTATGTTGTGTTTGTGAGGTTTAGGTTGAAACAGAAGCCGTTGGCTCCATGAGCGAGCGTTTAATTAAAAAACCAGAAGTCTGCAAATAACATGACTTTTGCTGAGCTGAACGGCAAGTTGTTCCTTATCTTTTTGAGTAATCTACCTTTGTAGGATTGAGCAACAGGGTAGGGATGAAGCACTGAAATGATAAGAGAATGAAGCTAGCTGAAGCTCTCAAGGGAAGTTAGACATATGCTGAACTGTTGTTCCAGATTGTCCATGGAAATAAATGGGTTATAAGGTAATTCTAATCACGATAGACTGAAACATGAAGCAATTGCTGACAAAGAATTATAACCAACTCAATCACTGAGTCAGCTGTGCATTTTTTCACTGATGCAGTAATTTTTGGACATGTCAAAATATATTTGATGCAATATTGTCTTTTTATTGTTGCTTTGTGTGTGTGTGCGCATGCTGGCTTTTATCCCCCCACTAATCATATCACCTGCTGAATGCTTTCTGTCTCTCTGTACGTGCAGGTGGTACATGCCAGAGCCCTGCTCTTCCAGCCCTTGTGCGTCCTCCTGCACCACCCTTGCAGCCATCGCTGGATATTAAGCCGTTCCTCCCGTTTCCTCTGGACACTGCTGCAGCAGTGAATCTCTTCCCCAACTTCAATGCAGTAAGTACTCTCCCAACAGTTACAATGAGCCACAGCTTCCATGGAAGACTCAAGAGGGCACAAAGCAGGATTTTATGTACTCCATTAAACCTGGAATATCCTCTCCCTTACTGAGGGCCAAATAGCTCTTTCAGACATGCTGATAGGCCATAAATTGAAGCCTACCTGGGTGTTAGTCAGAAGAAATGTAGAAGGAAAAAAATTATATGATCCCGAGTGACATGAAATAAAGTTTCAGGCCATATTCAGTCCCCAGGCTTGTGAATTTCCCACAGTAATTTAGGACGTGCAGAGCTTCACTAACTTACAGTTCACTGCAAATCTCAGAGAGGGAAAGTTTCAGAGCAATGGGATTCTACATCCCATCTCCAGCACACTTCCTGAGAAATACTAAAAATTTACAGACCCTAAAGAAAAAAAACTCTGTCAGGGCAAATAAAGAATGAGAACAACGTTAGCTGCTGTATGAGCTATTCAGTGGGAAACGATCCAGGGTATTTTCTTCAGGTTAAGATGTTGTATTTCTCATGTCTTAGGTTAAAACTAGGATAGATTTCTCCCTTTTTCTTTTACTTAGTCATGCTATGCATGATTATAGAAATCCTATTCCTTCTTTAGTATTTTAATTATTTTACTGACATATGTCATCAATGTTCCAGTTTTCCTGTTTGAGACTGAGATACTTAAGGCTCCTAAAAAAAGGGTCTACATTGGTTTTATGTTGGTATTGATGTTATAGAATTATGCCCTTTTTCAATTACTTTTTGATGCTCTTTTCCTTATTTACACATACTCTATATACAAAAAAGCCCTCCTAAGAACATGTGTGCTTACCTACTTTGAGAGAAAGAGAGGGGGTGGAATTTTGTCTTTTATACCAATTCTAATTGACATGCCGAAGTCTTAATTAAAATAATTAAGAGTAGTAAAGGAACATGTGCATTCTGTAAAAAAAATTTTTATCGATCAATAGCAAATTTCTGTATTTAAATGTTTGTTTTTTACCTTTCATAGATGTTCATTTTGCTTTAAAGTAATTAAAATAAACTAATTGTCAAAACTATTTATACAGTCTTGAATTCTAGAAATTCTCAGCATTAACAGAGAAACTACAAGCTACGAGTCTTAAAAAGCACAGAAACAATATGTCAATGAATTACTATTACAAGTAAACTTATAATTTAAAAAGTCTGTTAGTATGCCACAAGGTTTTAAAATATGCTGAGTTTAACCAAGGTACTGATAACCCATAATGAAATGGATACCACTTTAGGCTTGTTTAGTCTGCATTAGAGTTGAGGTCTTTTAGCCAGTTAGTGCCTTGTAATCATTCTTTGCAGTTAATGCAAAGAATTTTTAAAAGATACCTATTAGAATTCCTTGTATTTTTCTTCCTCAGGATTCTCTATGGTTCAGAGTCTTCAGATTGTTTTGCTAATGGTTTAATTATATAACTGAAATGGAATTTCAATGATGAGTGTTAATAATTGTTAATCCTGTGCTACTCTATAAATTTCCAGTTTCTTTCTTCATACACAAACTCCTTTGCTACTATAATTATTTTGAGGAAGGGGTGGATAAGTCATGCTTATATTAATTTGGAAGTCAGAAAGTAAAAATAGACTCATATCAAAACCATGTTATTCCTGAACATTATCTTAGTAGCATATAATTTGGTAAGAGCACTGGTAAAGTGAGCCTAGTTTTCAGGAGTGAGACTTGAAGCCCTTTTTAACAGCACTCTGAAATCTGTTCCCATGCAAAATGCTGCTTCCTGTGATGTGTGGCCATCTGCCAAGTCCACCTTTGGCAGATATGTCAGTCCTGAGAGTGAGGATGCTGTCATCAGAGCTGCTGTCACCTGCCTTGCTGTTCATAGTTTATGCCTTGCTAAGTGACCTTTGCCTTCTCATCATGTGTGCTGACATGCAGCATCATCCTCCGTGTTCCCATTTTCTTTGTGAGCAGCACATTATTGAACGCTGCTATGTTTAGTTCGTATGCCAGGGATGGTTAGCAGCAGCCTTCAAATATATAGACTAGCTGAGTAGTTTTGCACAGTTCCAGAAATTCTCTCCAAGCTGACAGAACTTTTGGGGACACATCAGCTGCTGACCCTTATCAGCCCAAGAAGAAGTTAACTCACACATCATGTTAGACTTTAAACACAACTTCTGACAGGGGCTTCAGTATGTGAATGTGAGACAGAAAAAAAGTGTTTAATCAAAAAATTATCTTTGTAAATATGGCTCTTCATTATCAACTGCAGCTGTTGGTGATGTCTTCATATCTGTTGATATCTTCATAGACTTCACTGACAGTCCTATGCAGTGTCAGTGGAGAATCATTTATGCTCTGTGGCTAAACCCAGGTCAAGCAAGTGGTCCATAACAGAACACCTGAACTGGATGTTCTCTCTCATCTTGTCAATAAATTAACATTTCCCTTGACTGAGACACCAGGGTCATAAATTGAGTCATAGGAAATGGATTTCTAAAGACCTCTTGACCCTCACAGGAACAAATGAGTTTGGCATCATGTCTGGACTACTTCTCAAAAGGCTAGAGGGAAGTCCAGAATTTTGGCCACTTATTGGCCACTTTTCAACAGCCTTCACTTGAAAACAGCATGACCAAGGGGAAACTTGAATAAAAATTCAGACATATTTCAGAGAAAATATGTAGTCTCTCACAATCCTAGTTAGCGTGAGAGTTTGGTTGTGATGGACATAGGCATCTGAGTTAGTCAGCCTAAGCTTTTTCACAAAATATAATGGAGAAAAATCAGCAATTTCTCCAAGTTATGCATGGATAAAAATGCACAAAGGTAGCTTGCAATGCAAGCTATATGTATACTTTGGCATGGAGTGAAGTGAACCCTGAAAGTTCTCATTCATCTATTCAGACTGTAATGAGGGACTGGCTCAGCTGCATCTACATTTAGATGAATCCCACATTATGGGACAGGTCATAAGCTATTCACAGCTCATATATTAAATTCTACTCAGAAATCACATGACAGAATTGCTGACATTGTATTGTATGTTTACAGAGGAATGCTCTCATTTATTAAGCAGTTATGCTTCTAATTTTATCTAAAGACAATCTTCAGGGAATTTGAGGATTCAGATGAACTGGATAGAAATATTAGGAGAGGTGGAAGCAAAAGTAACTTACCAGTGGAGAAAGTCAGACATGTACATAAGAATTAATAAAACCAAATACTGACCCTAAGTATTGCAAATAATCCTACTGAGGTGTATTTTATAACATTTTTCACTCTACTTCAGTTTATAACAAGCATGTGAAAGTTTTATTTGTTACTGATGACTTTGCTCTAAAACAAGCTCCATTTTTGCTGGCTGCCTCTGAAGAAAACATTTAGCACTGATTTCTACCAAGGCAAAAGCTTTCATTGAAGCAGAGACTAGACAAGATAATGTGGAGGACACAAACCTTTATCAGTAATATCCCCGGACAGAGAGTAGAGGAAAAAGAAAAAACTGAGTAACCTGAGAAAAGCTAGGAAGATAATGTTTGAACCTTTGAACCATTCAGTTTCAGGAGGAACATTTTCTATTTATACGAGAAAGCGTAGAGCAAACATAGCAATTAACAATCTGGTTAGAAGTTTCAGGAGGAACATTTTCTATTTTTATGAGAAAGCGAGAAAGCGTAGAGCAAACATAGCAATTAACAATCTGGTTAGCTGAACATTTGTAGGTGCTACGCTCTTAATTGTGAAGCAAATGGGTACCCTCAAGTCACATGTAAAAGGAAATTGTAACAACACAGCTGTTTAAACTGAAAACAGCCCACTGGAACAGACCCTGAAGAATCCCAGGTTCACTGCAAGTTTATCTGATCTGAAAAGATGAATCAACCGGATGGAATTGAAATGGCGAAATTGTATTTAATGAGGGAAACTATGGCTATAAATAATGTTTATCTAGCTTTTTAAAACATTATTTGAAAGTTTTCAGAGGAATGGAAAAATAATTGTTCTGAAAATAGTTTGAAATCATTTAGCAAACATTTGTTATGTTTCTGCATTTTCATCTGCAGAGGGAGAAGTTTCAAGTCTGTGTACCATCTAAGAATTAGTACTTAGAGATGCAAAGCTTTAACAGTTATATTAAGCATGTATGGATCCTTGCATGTGAATATGTGCATTCTGTTCATGAGCTGATAGTTTGTTGCAGAGAAATTTCACAAAACATCAAAGTCTAGAAATTAATTAACTTGTAGAAAAATATTGATGGGCCTCTAGTCTAAGAGGAGATGCTTAGTTTTGCAAGATATCAGCACCAGCCCTAAGATGATGGACCCCCCTATGACAGAAAAAAACCTTTTGCAGACTTTTTGGTAGTCTCCAAAGCACAGATGCATCAGAAACTGGGTTTTGCCTGTTTCCAAAGCTCTCAGGATTATATACTTCAGTCTCTTGAGCAGAGACAGAATTTAAAGTTTAGAAATGCAGGACATTTGCCATTACAAGGTAGAAAATTGGATAGTGCATTGCACTCCTTGTTTGTTTATTCTTTGAAGGATATGCTGACCATCTTTCTGAAAAAGTTCTAAAAAAATATTTTATCACACTTTGTAATATGAGCACAATCTGTAAAGGAAGGGGTACACAGTGTAGAAGAACTGAATAAATGCTTGAAAACAGAGTGATGTTGCTTGAAAAGCTCCATTCCTAACTCCAAATGAAAGCCTGGTTGCTAATAGAAAGTTTTCCAAATAAGCATGCTTTGAAAAGAAACATCACTACAGTTTTGACTAGAAAAGAATGACTTGGAAGAGCAGTGACAATGTCAGAGTTGTACTAAACAAGGATGGAAAATGGACTGTTACTCTACAGACATGTTACTCATGATCCACCTGTAGAAATCCCTGTTCAGTTCCCTGATTTTCCTGTTTGCTTGTTCTATGCCAATAATAATAATAATAATGCCCAGTACATTATTAAGAGCTTCCTATTTCACCTTCCCCTGGCTA